TATTTCAATCTATCATAATCGAATCAATTAAAAATTAAAATATAATACGGCTATCAAAATTGTAATTGAAAGAAGTCATGGCATAATCAAATAATTCGCTAATTTACAGCATGCCTATGCATAAATAATGCAGCTTCAACTGGTCATTATACATAATTGCTAAATTAACACAATTCCGTTCCGTTATAGTTTCGACATGAACGAGGCAAAAGTTCTGTAGCACTTTGCTTCTTGATGATATTGCATCGCATAATTCACGTTACTCCTTCAATGTACGATAAATGTTATCCTGGAGAAGCTATAAAATATAAAACGTTCGTACGTAGTACAGTACAGCCCGAGCGAGCAGTAAACCGCTGTTATGATGTTCTCCGCATGTTTAGCGGTGAATTCGGCGATCGCGAGGAGCGATATTGAAGCGGCTACGAGTACCTACCTATTGCTCGCATTTCAAGTCGAAGGAAAAGGCAAGCACAAGGCAACGTATGGAGAAATTAACGATTATATGTTTTTATCAAATTAAAACAGTCTATATCTCTAATAATATATGCTACGGTTCAAATCTTAAAACTAATTGTTAACTAATTTACTACACTCTAAAGTGTTATATCTGGAGCATAGCTCTGAACGGATCAGAAACATGAACTCTATGAGCGACCGAAAAAAACTATCTGGAGAGGTTCGAAATGTGGTGCTAGAGGCGAATAGAAGATAAAGTAGACAGACAGTTTAACCAATAGAAAAGTGCTGAATAAAGCAGGCGGAAAAGAACTCTATTGAGCACGATCCTGAAAAGGAAAGACAACTGGATCGGACTCATTCTGGAAAAAGAGTGCCTCCTACACGACGTTGTCAGAATAAAATTGAATAACTAAACGGATTGGGAAGAAAAATAATGCAGATGATTAATGACTTACGCGAGAAGAGAAAATATAGGGAGCTGAAAGCCGAAGCACAAGATCGGAAAGCATGAAAGAAAAAGTTTGGAAAGAAAAATGCATAAAAGTGTATAAAAAGTAAAATGGCAATGGGAATGATAAACAAGAGAGAGAAATAAGGAATCATTGATTTGTGGTGCTCTCACACGATGGACCTGCCTTCGGGCTGACTACCATTTATTATTATTCATTTACACGTGAATACATTTTCAAGGTATGCCAAAATCCAGAGAGTCTTAACACAAAAATATAATTAATGTGTTTTAAGTTAATTTTTAGGAGTAAATTTTAATTACATTGGCATATTTCATCATAATACGAAAAAAGTGATTTTATTGATTTTTATTAAAATTATCTCCTCATGAGAGGCTCGCTCTCTAAAAACAGTATAGTTGCACATCGCTCCTTCGGGCAATATCAAGATTATCGTAATGAGATGATATTGCACTTGGAAACAGTGAAATCGGATTGCAAACTCTAAATATGTGATATTTGAAGCAATTTGCAGTTTCCAGACTGTCCTTTTAAACAATTACGAACTTTATTATTACGACATCGTTGTTTTATGACGTAATGATACGATATTAAATTAAAGATGAGTGATACAAAACGAGAGAACCATTTATATTTGTGTGAGCACGAGGTTTAAAATGTGATGCCAAGGAGGAATGAAGAGAAAAATAAAACTGTAATATATAAAAATGTAAAGCTCGAAATAATAATATACGTCGACAATATTTTTTTTAAAAACTTATTGTTTATATATATATATATATATATATATATATGTATGTATAGCGATCAATGAATGATAAAGAAACGTTGCGTATTGTTTCACCTATTATTATGACATCGACGTTTCCTTGTTGCATATATTGTTTTAGATCTACCATTTTTTATTGCCGAGTAATTCCAAGAGTGATTAATATTGAGGTTAATAAACGTTATCAAGGCCTTATGTATATCGTGCGGTACAAGTTAATTTAATTTCATCAAATAACAGCCATTCGTACAAAAATGATAGATTGAACATAATAATGATGTTTTTAATTTATACTCCATTAATATTAATAAGTAACTCGATTTCAACAAGTGCTAACCGGACAACTTCAAACTAAGTATATGCATTTGAAATCAGTGCCTCGAGTATAAAAAGAGTAGAAATTCAAAAATCATTATTTCTGTACAGGTTGTTTATATCTCTTTCCGGCAGCAATGAAAACCGATTATAGTTTTCAATCTTCAAAAAGTGATGCGTCCGTGTATAATGTGCGTGCAAAATCGTCATTATGTGCGTGCATTTCTTTGATTGGATCGAAATAATGGTCGATAGGTTTCGAATCTGTATCACGTCTTAGATCGTCGGCCCGATCGACCGACTAACGAGGAAAATTAACACCGGCGCGCGCGAAATAGTAAAGCGCTCGACAGAAGGTGAGAAGTACACAAATGCGGGCTGTAATTTCAACGAGGCGGACGAGGCGGACGATCAGGGATCGTGCTCGATAGTTTATTATTGCTAGCCGAATGAATAAATTCATTTCATAACACATAACAAATCACGAAAATAGATGAGTAAAAATATGGGCTCTATCATATTTGCAAGCATCAATGCTTAGAGAACTGATTATACACGACTAACGGCCGATTAATTACTGTTGAACTTCAGCAAATAAATTCTATATTGAAATAAAAAAATCTTTGCAGCAATACTGGGTGTCTGAGAACTCAACGTCAAGACAAAACGAGGCGATAGAATTGACAGTAATTGTCTTGAATAAATTATGAGCTTTTAAGTGCAACCTGGAGCTTTGGTGAAATTGTGACCATTTTTCGGTTATTGCGGGTAATTGATATTAGATTTGTTCATTTAAGCTTTTAATCCGCAATCGTAAATAACATTTCTAGGACGACAGTCAAAAAAAATTACCACTACTCCAAATGTTTAAGGTCTAAGACTTTTTGTTGAACTCAGGCTTCTAATTGCTTGGATTTATAATAGTGTACTAGATTAGTGTTATTTATACAAGTGTATTTCTGTGTCACATTAAAAAATGTAATCATTTTATTGATACCTTTCAGTTTTTCTTCTGAATAACGGTCTTGACGTAGACTAAAATGTGTGAATTAAGTAACTCTAGTCATTAATTATAGGCGATTCAAAATCTTATATTTAAAACTAATCTAATAATATTCACGTATGCCAGTGACATTCTTACTCAAATATAATATATTGTACGAATAAAACTATTCTAAAAATTAAATAAAACGGAATCTGATCGTTCTTCAGCCAAAAACTCACGGTTTTGTCACGGATTTAATAATGTACAACTCGATTTTTTACCACGTCAATACGTAAGCATTTCTTACCGACTAGTTTTACAGTATAAAACGGAAATGAAAGCGAAATAATTGTAGATATCGATTATACTACAATGAAACACAAACAAAATAGTCATCGATCCGTTTTGTTCGCGGTCCTAATATCGACATTTTCTCACGTAGTACATTGTGAATAACGAAGTAAGAACCTAAGAACGCTCTGTGACGAAGATAGATTTCACTACTTCGAAGCTAATAGAAACATAATGATATAATATATAGGATATTTTTTTCAACGTATTTATCCTTGCCGGCGAATTTATTATGTGCACGACTCTGACGTAGCCGGTATTATTCGTATCTACTTTTTTCAATAACATATTTGGAAAAAATAAATGGATTGACTTGTGGAAACAAATCTCGTTTTGTCATTTACCAGCAAAATTTCATGGAAAGTAATTCATGAGTTAAAGTTACGTATGTGTTTTTCTCTAATTTTCTCTAATACTTTTCTAAATTGAAACCATTCACCATTCAAATTAATGTCACACATTATTTTAGACCAGTTCAAACATGACGAGCACAAATATATATATATATATATATATATATATATATATATATATATATTCCATCATATGAGAAAATTTTAACTATCGTGTTTTCTGTATCCTACAACATCACGAGTAAGATTTGAATTAATATAAATCGCGGAACAACTGGAGTAATTACAATAAAACAGCAAATCGAAACAAAAAAATGAAGCATAGGAAGATTGAATGCGCTATGAAATATTTCTCTTATACCGACACGTGTACTCTCTCACGAATCGTATAAAACGATCGAGAACATTGTAGTAAATGCAAACCAATAGATCGTTCGTTCTCATAGATCTCATTGACTCGATGATAAACGGCAATAAAATACTATCTATGCTCCCAAAATTGTTTGAAACCTAGTAATCACAAATGAATACACAGCGATTACAAACTCTTTTTTACACAAAGAGGAAAAAATGTGTTCCTATCACAACAAGGGTCTACTTCAGTAGATCACCAATAATAATAAGAACAAGTCGCCTAAAGTTTGCGCTACAGCTCATGACACTACTCGCGCCAAAGTAATCGAGTGAAGGAATATGAAAAAATCTAAGTCACCAACAGGACTTAGGACACGGATGCACGAATCCTATTTCCACAAGTTGTGTTCTCACACCGCATTGGAATATGTATTCATTTATAGCTTAATTCAAGTAAAATTGAACTAACATCACGTTGCAAACGAAAGATATTTCATAACCGTTCGCGGTCTGACCTCCATTTCCTCCGGCGTGCGATAACACGCTGTGAATCACCACAAGACACAAGACGCGGACCCGCTGCGTCGCCGACAACGATTTTCCTTCGATTTCGCATTTTTAACTTTAAAGAACTTACTAAAAATTGAACTTGCTCAAATAATAAAGATTCTCATTTTCTTAAGCTTTTTGCTTTTTTTATCGTCATTGTAAACATCAAGTATTTTAAATAAATTAATATTGGTTTAATGATGCAGAATTAAATTCGACGGTATGGTGGAAAAAAATTAGGGTTGAGACTTTAATTTATTAAGTATAACTAAATTTAAAATTTTACTATGTATTTTTGTTATAATTTTTTTGTGCCTATGGAAAAACAAATAGCATAGAGAATTCATATTGTAAAAATGATATATGTGCCTATTCTATTCTTCAACATTCAGCTAAGGCTTAGCTGCTAAACCAAAGTTGCTTTCGACTAACATGAAACAATGTTTAAATCATATATTGAATAAATTTAAATATAGAGACTCATAACGAAAAAATTACGTTACCTCTTATTCGAATACTTAGTAAAATCTATTAAAATAATCAAGCAAAATTTTAGCATACAAAAGCCAAACACAGACATTGCTAATAAATATGCAATAGAACTAAATAGTTCATTTTTAGAAGAAAAATTTTATAACACTAATTATAATGTGAAGCAAAATACAATGTATATAGTCGATTCGAGTCAATTAAAAAAGAAGAACCAATTGTTTTTCGAAAAATTTGTTATATGTAGATCAGCTCCCTGTCTACTGAAGTTCGAAAGAGCAATTGTTCCGTTTGCGAATTGTTTAATTATCGAATACCTACAGCGTTGGTACGCGGGATACCCACAGTACTCCTTTTTACTTTGATATGTTGTGACAGATGAGAAGATTCATTTCGATTCGATCCACGATTTATTATTGCAGAAATTATTTAATAAGAGGTTAGATTCTTCAAAAATGGAATATCGGATATACCTTAATGAAATATTTGTTACAACCAACAACAACTATATATCGACCCACTACATAGCATCCAGTTTGTTTTTTAACAAACTGTTTAAATTTAAAAAACACCACACATAACGTTAAAATTGAAATATCAAAACTTTACAAATTCAAAATTTCACAATCTTAAAAATTTTCTAATATTTTTACAAAAATTCACAATTTAGGTAAATTTAAAATTAACAGAAATTTTAATGTTTTACAAATATTTTAATACACTGCTTTCCAAAAATATAACTTCGAGAAAAAAAGTTTCAGAATTGTTGAAAATATTAAAATTTTTGAGATGTTACATTTGTTGAAAAATATGAAATATGAAAATATTAATTTTTTTTTTTAATTGTGAAACTTTAAATATAAAGTTTATTTAAAAAAATTCAACCTTTTGGAAACTTTGAAAAGATAAAAAATGAAAATTTTTGTTTTTTTTTTAAACATGTAAATTTTATGAAACTAAATTATTGGAAAAGATTCTAATGGCAATAAAAATAATTAAATAAATCCAGTCCAAAGCAGAAATCGATTATTTAATATCATGATATATGTGAGCCAAGTATATAAAAATCAATTAAAAATTGTTTGCAGTACGAAACTGATAATTGAAAATTTTCAATATTGGTACGAAATCAAGTTATTTAGACACAAAAAATATGTAATTCCTTAAAATACACCAAATCGGAAAATTTTCAAATTTCTCGTTGTTTTCAACCGTTCATGCAAATGACTTATATCTGATTAAAATCTCTGATAATATTAAAAATAGCACTCACCGTCTCCGCTCATTCCGCTCTGAGATCCATGTCCCCCGTCTTCTGCAAAATCGAAAATATCGATCATTATGAATTACAACAAGCCGAAATAATAACAAAACCGGCGATGACATTCATTCAGCTGATTGCATCGACTGATTTCACTTCCGCGAAGTCGAACGATTCGTAACAAAGTGAACATCGTCGTCGGTTAAGATATATTATGCAGAAACTTATTTTTATAAAACTTAGTATAAAATATAATATTACAACGACTTAATTTTTTGTTTTTATATAATCACATTATATAGAAAGACATTTAGTAATTGAAGTTGTTAATATAAGCGATGGGATATTAGTACCCTATTTCCAATATTTGACTTATTGCCAAACATTCTGTTTGACACTAGTTTACCAAGCATATAGTTAGAATTTGCGTTTAGACCCATAATTTTTTATAAATAAGAAATAATTTATAATTATCCCAATGCTGATTTGAATGTTTGTCGAATATGCTTATCATTTTTCCATGATTTCAATGGATGGAAGTGCCCGTGCCATTTTTTGGTCAACGTCGAACCGTGAGTCACCCGCTCTGCCGGTGTCTCTCCGGGTCTAACGTAAGTCGCATCGCCTCTCGGAGCAACGAGAGGATCGGCGACGGTACAATGCATCGCTCAATTAGTTTCACATGTAATCGGATCAATGATTAATTGCTAATCATACGTACAATGACAATAATATTCATTACACGACAATGAATCATTACTGTTTTTGGTTTTCTGCGACGATATGATTGAATTTCTCATTGCATCACCCAAAAAGATTCCACATGGATATTCTTATTATAATTGCATTCATTTATTTAGCTAATTATTAATAATATATATATATATATATATATATATATATTATTTGAGATCAATAAAGGCAGATTAATAATAAAAAAAATAAACTAGGTGTAAGTAACATTTTCCCTTGACTTTTTATATACTTCTTGTGATGACAAGGTTTTCAACAGTTTACTTCAAAAATAAATTATTAATCTTTTCAATCTTCAATTAATTACTTTACATTCTTTATATAGTAATATAAAATATATCTGTTTCTGGGCATTGCAAAAAGAAACATTGGAACTCTTAAATTTGCCCCATAAGCCCCATCTCACATACTTTATAATTGAAAGAAAAATCGGTAGTTACAGATAATTGTATAAATCAGAAAGCGCACAACCGCGTATTAGTGATTGTTTATTCGATATAAGTGATATCGAAGTGAGAATAATAATCCCAAAGGCGATGGACAAACAGTTTAAAACCCATGGACCTTGTAGCTCGTGTACACGATTAATCGATTTAAAATTTTCGATGACAGTAATTTCAGTCGGATGCAACTTTGACTTCATAACAGTTATATTCAGTCGTTACTTATGGTTGCTTATTTTGAGACCAATAATTACTCGAAAAAATATATCTATATGCATATATTTTTATTATGTGTCTACGCATATTACCAGATTCGTAAGGCATCTGATGTCGGTAGTCGCGCTGTTTCTTTTTGTTTTCGTCTTCCTGGTGTTGCATGTGCATTTGGTTGTTGGGCATCAGGATCTGGTGATGCTGGTCGCCAGCAGCCAGGCCGTGCCCCATGTGTTGCATGTGCACGGCTGGCTGGAGTTCCATGGTGAGCATAGCACACCAGGCGGGCCCTGGAAAAGAAAATTTAAGTTTAGGATTTAATGGCTTCATATTAAGTTTAATAAATACAAATATGCATCTATATGTACATACATATTTAAATATTTATTTAAAAAAAACAAATGAAAATGGAAGAACAATATGAAGAATATTTGCGTCAACGGTGAAAAGAAAAGATATATTAATCGCTGATCTTTCTATGCTGTATAAATGTTTCATGAATACGCGAGAAATGTATTTTATTAAATATACTTGCTCTTGCCTTAAGCATTTTCTGGTATATATATATATATATATATATATATATATATATTATATACAGTATTTTATTAAATAATGTTAAAACATACCATATGCAAAATGTAACATATGTTGATTAAATGACGGTATGTAATCAAAAATATTTGTTAGTATCTACTTTGATAAAGAGACAAATAATAGTCTCGAAATGTTTATAACTCTAAGATCATTTAATGAAATAGTACAAAAACAAATGTTGTGTGTAATATAATAATAAATAAAACTTTCCACTCATAATACTACAGACAATGCATTATTATGATCAATTTTATATATGTAACATCGAAGAAATATGTTATAAAAAGAAATATGCATATAAAAATATACCAACTTCAAAAACTACATAATTATATTGAATTAGTGGTTAGAGCTGTATCATTCCAATCTAAAACCAGGTTTGATACCCGTCAACCAGTATTGACATCGGTTTTGACTCGTGTATATAAATTGTATATTGTATTTAGTTTCCAAGTGAAAATAGCATTTCAGGGCGTTGCTGTAACATCCCAATTAGAAAAACGACTATGGGGACTGATCTGTTGTGCGCATATTTTGTGACTGTTTGTTATGCTAACAATAGTTAAATTGAAAAATTTAGCATAATAACTCGATAACCATTTCATTTCAAATGTCGTGTTTTAAGACATTAAAATTTAGCATAACAATAAGACAAGAATTTAGTTTAGCCATCTTCAAGTGACTAGAATCTATCACTCGTGTATGTAGCAGTCTTCATAATACCAAGTAATTCTTCATACATAGTTTTTAGTATGTCTTAAGTCCACATGAACAAAAAAGACGTTAAGTCGTTGTGCTATCCGTCGTCCCCCCTAGTTTGTCAAAACTACTAAAACTTAAAATGGGTCTTTGCAAACGTACACAGCAAGTCAAAAAGATGCCTCATACAGATAAACGTAGTCAGGGTTCGGTGCACACGAGTCGTCCTTTCTTTCTTATGGCTAGGACTGAATGCAAGAAGAAGGAGCCAAACCGGCAGCAAAAGCAACAGCAACGGCAACGGCAACGGCAACAGGCGAACGCGAGGGTGGAGGAGCCGACCAAGTCACGTGGAACAGAACGAGCTACGGGAAACATAGGAACAAACTTCGGCGAACTACAAGTGCAAACAGTCAATGGAAAAAGAACTTAAAACAAATGAACGGAGAAATATTATTTCACTATATCTAGGTCCGATTAGAGAGACCAAAAGCAATCCTTCAGCTGGAGCAACATCCACAAACTGCAAGCAATGAAAACAAATTGCAAACATTATTTTGGTACTAAAATAAATAAATGCAATTTGGGTCCGGTTGCAAACAACAAATTAAATTTAGTTATAAATTCAATCTCTAATTGGTTCAATTCTAATAATCTTCTACTCAATATGATAAAACTCAACTTATGTCATTTGGAACAGTTAATGAAATAAATAATGAGATCAACTCTGACTATCATGACGTCCCAGTTAATTTTTTTCCCGTTTCATTAAAACTAGGACAAACATATTCGTTCCTTGTTATCAAAACTTCTTTTATGTTGAAGATTCTTAAAACTGAAGACAGTTTAAAATGTGTTGCAAAAGGTATTCTGTGAATGTTCGTCATCCTTATATAATAAATTTAAATTACAAAAAAGAGCACTAAAAAAATTTTTTTTTTGCTTAATGTTTTGTATATTTGTATAAATCTGTTTGGACAATTCACTGTATCCTCTATATTTTTGCTAATCATATTGTGATCCATAATGAAGAATCTTTAAAACGTTATGTTATCAATGCCAAATTCATATCATATAACAAGAAATTTCATTATCAAGAGACCAATTTTCAAATTTGCAACTTGTTGTCTACAGGTTAGAAAATTAAGTGATGATCGATTCCATAATACCATAATCAAATTCTTAACATCCCAAAGTTCCTACGATATTTCTAAATATTCTAAATTTTGGTATCAAACAATATTCTACCAATAAATTGCCTATAAATAATAATGAACAACTAAGTAACCAATCCTCTAATAATGCTAGGAATTATTACCACAACATTCATAAAACAATAAGTTCTGATTTTTGCTAAAATAAATAAACACGCATGTATATAATACTTGATACAATTTTCTTCTGATGACTCAAATTTTCCCATTTTTCTTTTCAAAATTATATTAACAACCTTTTATTAACCCTCCATATTAAACTTTTATATTATAGTAATTATTTTCATACTTTAAACTTCTCTTGACACAAATGTTCTTATTTGTAATCATTAAAAAAAATTATGTAGCTGATAATTAAAGTTTTTTTTATTATCAGGATCTCAAGATATCAAGTTTAAACCAATTTATTAAACATTATATTATCACTTTAATGTCAATTGACAATTTTATTTTTAGGCTTAATGTATTAGGGACAATTCTTTACTGTGTCAAATCTAATACAAAGAAATTATAAATTGAAGTGATTAAAGAAACCAAAAAAAATATTGACGGTACTAAAATGTATTATATGAATTTGTCAAAATGTTATTTTAAGTAATATTACTAAATTAAACTAGTTGTCATTAAAAATGAAATTCGCGAACCAAGCTAGGAAACATTTGGCCTAATGACCGATTAACGATTAATGCGATTGAATGCTTTTTCTCTCGGGCCTGGCGTAATCGCTACATAGTTCTGATAAATACGAAAAAAGATCAAATTCCTAATTAAAAAGTCCGTTTAATTTGTCACTGTAAAATAAATTCCAATTATCATATCTAATTCGAAAATTCCTTATTACGAATACGCCTATGAA